AAAACTGGCATCTGTGCTGAAAGGGGAGGAAGAGAACCTAAACCAGTAACTATTAGCTCCATCCTTACGTAGTTTGAAAGAGACTCCTTATGTTGGAAGTAGTAGAATCACTCTTTGGGGGGAGGGAGGTGAGTAGAGGTTTCTGCTCCAGAGAAAGGACATTAGTGGGGAAAAGAAATGGGGACAGACAGGTGAGATGATACATGTAGGATACAGCGATTTCAGTTACCAGATTCATCACCGAAACCTATTTTAAAAACAACATCCTGCTTAATGGCACAGAAGAGAGGGAGGTAAATTCAGGAATGAGATTTCCACAAAGGGTCCATGTGCAGGCCCCATTTCCAGGTAGGGTATGGACAGGAGGATGGTGATGGAAGGTGGCCCAGAAGTCTTAACAGCAAGCATATTCAGAAGAGTTGCAGAACTAGAAAACCTGTCCAGCTGCTTCGCTGCTTATATGACAAACCTGCTGATGAGAAGCAAGGGAGTAGGGCCTAATTCCAAATGCTCTACTAGCTGAAGATCCAGAAAAAGTGTTCATGCAACAGTGTCTGATTTATGATAGCTACTCAAAGTATCCGCAAAGCTAGCAATGCAGTCACCTCTGGCAAGCTGTTGCTATTGGAGTAAAGACTGAGAAAGACAACCAAAAAATATTTTTCAGAACTTCATAGCTTTGATTATTAGGTGTGCTGCAAAGATGCTCTTATGTCTTCATTAACTTAGGAATGGAGATTAGGGTGGAGATTTTACTATATACTATATTTATACTATAAATAGGAACAAAAAAAACAGTTCAATTTTGTAGGGACAATGCAAAGATCTTCAAGGTTGCACAAATGCAGAACAGGGTGCAACGGCTTAGGTAGAAGGTTTGCAAGAAAATCTTGCCGTTAAATGCATTATATAGCAACGGTGAATCAAAGATTCGCTACTGGGAGTGCGGAGTTAGTGTCATAATGGGACATAGCTCTAGGTCTTCAAGTTGCAAGATGTGAAGTAAAACCTGCTCTACATAACACTGGTTTTGTGCATTGTGGTTTTACTGGAGATCACTACATAGCTGACCACCGTATCTTTTTAAAAGCAAATGGAAAGGAGAAAATTATATTGAAATGTGGAAGACAGTAACGGGAAAGACCTACAGCAAGCTAAATAAAAAACATAGTAATGCATACAAGAAATTTTTAAAAGCAACTTGTTAATGTGGTGCAGGTATGTAAACTGGGATGCTGTCTGGTTTGTGACACTATCTGGTTATGGGCATGTTTCAGCATGAAAGACTGCGACAAGAAGTAGGATAAGTAATAGACACCCAGATACACAGCAGAAGAAGGAGGAGGAGGAGATGATAATGATGATGATACTTGAGGAGCATTGTAGGACCCTGTAAAACTGATCATGGACTGTCTAGGGGAAGGGCGAAAGGTGGAGAAAGGGAGGGCTCAAGGTACCTCAAACAAGAATGGGAAAATGGAAAGGGGCATGAGGAGGATGAAAAGGACTGGTCCTGTGCAAACAGGCCATTTGCATTGTTCCTGCCTGTGTGGCTGCTGCCTGTGAGTATGTGGTGCCTGGAAAGGTGCTCCTATCTGTGCTTCTCTGCTGGTGTTTGGCTGTGTCTCTGTGCACTGGGGATACGCCTTCAGCCTTGCTGCTGCCTGGACGTGGGCCAAGAGGACCACAGAACAAGCTGGTTGTAGCAGAACGGGCCCTCAAGCCCACAGAATTCAGCTGCCCTTTGACAAATGGTCCTACAGGTGGTACAGCTTTTATAACACATTAGAAACAGAAAGCCTTACAGAAAGCTACTGAGACCAATAACTAATCCAAGTTTAAAAGGACACTTTTTTAAGAGACAGTAATTGCGGAAAAGGTATGCAACAATTTAAGCCTAGTAAGACCAAGATCAGGTAGTATGGGGAAGAGCTGCCGTCCTAAACCTGTCCAGACAAGGCAGAGCATTACTCCTATGGACTGATCTGATGAAATCTCCACAATTATCTAATTGAATAACATGTTATAGAGACCTTCTGTAGAAAGCTGATAATGAGTCAAAGACTGTAAGCTCAACAGCAGTGCAGATGACAGCGCCTTTCTACAAAGGGTAGTCCCAGCAAGAGTAATCTATGGCATTTACATAGACCATATACTCAAACGAATTTTCCTCAAAAAGGGGGAACAACCTGCCCCCCTCAACCCTACAGTTATGCAAGGCGTAGTAATGAAATCTTAGCAATCAAGGGTCTAGCTCTAAAATCTAACTTTCAAGGAAGTATACATGAGTAGAGATGGAGACAAGTAATTTGGAACTTCAAAGTTTGAAATTTGGGATAACTACAAATCCTGAATCCTCACCTGTGGCAAGCAAGGTGTAAAAAGAAGAAATTCTTACTCAACTGATAACTTGAGGAGATGGGAAGGAATCTTAGTGCTAAGCATGTACTAAGGCTGCCTCTTTTTTTTATTCATGCAATACTTTGTGCCCAGTCTTTTACCGCAAAGACTGTCCCTTAGGTCCTGCTAAATCCAAGTTTTCTTGGTTTCAGGATT